AAATATTAATATTATAATAATCTTAATAAGCAAAGTTAAATATTTTATATATAGCTAACTTAGCTATTATAAGCATAATTACCTTAATTATTATAAAAAAATAAGGATATAGCTTTTATTAATTAAGGCTAATAAGGAAAAGGAGTTTATTTAAAAAGATATAAAATTTTTTTTATAAAATAAGGCCTAAAAGCAATGCTAACTTAGCGCTAACTTAAACTTAAAGTAAATTAATTATATATTAACTAATTTAACTTTATAAAAATGCTTAAAATTTAAGAAATTCCTATTAATAAAGTAAATTACTTATAATTAAGCATTAATTAATTATAAATTATATAATAAATTTATAATTTTAAGGTTTTAAGTAAAAAAGCTTATATAAAAGGTTTATATTAAAGGATTATAAGAATGCTATTAGCTTAGCCATTAACTTACGCTTAAATAATTATTTTTTATTAACTTACTTTAGCTAGCATATTAAATTATAAGAGTTAAGATATATTAATTATAAATAATAAGCTAAGCCTTTAATATAATTAAAAAGCATTAAGATATAATTAAATAGCTAAGCAAAGAATAATATTTAATTTATAACTAAACCATAATATCCTTTATTTTTTATTATATAACTACCCTTTAAGGCCCGCTATAGGGACCTAGAGAAGAAGGATATGTTACAATTTAGGCTTTGCTTATTGTAATTAATTAATAGGCTTTGGCTTTATAAGAATAGGCTTTAGCGTAAGTGCAGATAAGGAGTAAACCTTCTCCTTTGCACTTTAAATATAAACCCCATTCGGATACCTTACGGCAAACGACCCAAGGCTAGCCCATAACAACTATTTTTAATAGTATTATTTATAAAAAGAGCTATATTTAAATCCCTTAAATATTCTTTTAAAAATTCTTTAATTTATGAATTTAAAATAAATTCTTTTAAAATATTCTGCGCTATTAAATTAATAATATACGCTATATAATAAATATTATTTTTAAACTATTTATTTAATTTAAAATTAAATTTTTCTTTAAAAACCATTATAAATATATTATTATTTAATACATTATTTTTTATAAAGCTATAATAAAAAGTTAATTATTTATATTTAAAATATAAAAAGAATTAAATACTTAAAAATGCTATTAAATATTATACTTAAATAACATTTAATAATCTTTTAAAACTCTTTAAAGAGAATTAAGCTAATATATTTCTCTTTTAATTCTTAAAATCCAATTAATTTATAAATTAATTAAAATTTAAAATTAATATAAAAGACTATTACTTCTATATAAACTATATTAAATTTAAAAATCCAAATATTAAAATTAAAAGAAAATTTACCATTACTAATAATATTTTCTTTTAAATTTAAATTTAAATAATCTAAATTAAAATTAAAAGTATTATTTAAAATACTTTTAATTTTAAAACAATTTATTTTCAAAGCATCTTTAAAATAAAGTTAAGTTATTTCTTCTTATTAAAAGAAAAGAAATATATATAAATTTAAATATAATAATAAATTTTAAAAAGATTTAAAACTTAAAATATTAAAAGCTAAATTATTTTTAATAATTAAGTTTAAAATCTTTTTATAAGTATTATTTTTTATAAATTTAATTTTAATTTTCTTTTTTAAAAAAATAAAGAAATTTAAAGGAAAAGTTATATTATTAAGCCCTATAATAATTAATTAAATTTTATTTTTTAAAATATTATTTTTTAATAAAAACTTACTTTTATTTTTATTTACCCTTAATATTTCATTATAAGCAATATTTAAATATTTATATTTATAATATTATTAATAATTAAAGGCTTAAAATCCCTTTAAAGTATCTTATTATAAATAATAATAATTATTAATTTATTAATTAAAAAATTAAATAAGTTATTATTATACTTAAAAGAAATATAATATCTTTTTAAAATTATATATTATATATTAATTATATAATTAAGGTGCTCTTAAAGAATATTATTAAATATATTCTTATTATTAATATTAATTTAAAATATAGCTATATATTATACTTAGCTAACTATAATTTAATATAATATATAATTAAATATAAATAAAATATATAATAATATATTTTATTTATATTAAATTATATTTTAAAAAGATAAATACATAACTTACTTATTATACTTAATTATAATTTTTCTAGGGCAATTTTCCTTAATAAAAAGCAAGGTTTAAATAAATAATTTATATTTAAAAATATAAATTCTTATTTTCTTAAAAAAAAGTAGTTAATAATTAAGAGAATTATATTAATTATTTTAAAATATTTATAAAGTATCTTTAGAAAAAGAAATATTATTCTTAATAAAGGCTATAAATTTATTTATAAAAGATAGATTTATTAAGGAAGAATTGTTAAGAAATAAAGGGAAAAAAGATATTTTAAATATTTAAAATATTTAAAAATAAAAGAATTCTTAGTATTAAGGCGTGAATATTAAGGTATAAGTAATTTTCTTAATGGTAATAAAATAATAATAAAGAAAAAAAAAAGAAAAAAAGAAAGGAAAAAGAAAGAGGTTTATATATATTAAAGATTAAAAAAAATAAATAGTTTATTTCCCTAAATCAATTAGTTTATTCTTTTAAATAAGCTAAATATTTATTTAAAGAAATATATAATATTATCTTTTAAAAATAAATTAAATTATTTTTAAATAATATTAATATATATATAAATATAACTTAATTTAAGGATAATTCTTATATATTTATTATATATTTATTTAAATATATATAATTTTAAATTAAATAATATATATATTTCTTATAATGAAATCTTAGCTTTTAAAACTATTTAACTTAAATAAATAATTACTTTAAAGGCTAAAAAGCTATTTTTATTTTATTAATTTAAAAAGGTTTAATATAAATATATAATATTTAAAATTTATATAATAAATAAGTATTTATAGGGGCAAATAAGCTTAAATAAGCCTTATAATTACTTTTAAAATTAAAGTATTTATAGGGGAAAATAAGCCTAAATAAGCCCTATGGCTGCTTTTAAAGTTAAAGTATTTATAGGGGTAAATAAGCTTAAATAAGCCTTATAATTGCTTTTAAAGTTAAAGTATTTACAAGGGTAAATAGGCTTAAATAAGCCTTATAGCTACTTTTAAAATTAAAGTATTTATAAAAATATATAAATTTTAATATATATAATAAAAAAGTATTTTTAATATTTTTAAATAATTATATATAAATAAAAAAATAACATTATTATAATTAAAAAAAATTTTAAGATTCTTATATAATTTTATAAATATATATTTAATATTTTTATATAAGGTAAATCTTACTTATATTAAAATATTTATTTTTTTAAAGAGATAAGCTATTTTGTAAATATTATATATATAATATAGAAGAAAAGAGTAATTTAACTATATATTTTTTATATAGCTAGCTTAAAAACTTATTAAGAAACTAATTGCTTTATATAAGTGGTTATGTTAAAGGTAAGGGGGAAAAGGAGGGGCGTAAATATATTATATGCTATATACTATACATTACATATACTTATAAGAAAGCTAAATTATATATATTTCGTAATTTTATAATGTATATAATATAGTAATATATAATATTAATAAAATTTATAATAATTACTTATAATAATTATAATAATGTTTATTAATCTTATAATATGTAAATGCAATGTAAATTCCTTGCTTATGATTATATGCTATATGATGTGCTAGTAGCTAGGGGTTTAAATCACCCTAGAAATGACTTTTTTTAAGTTTTTTATTTATTTATTTAATTCTTTTAATTCTTTTAATATTCTTTTAATATTCTTTAATATTTTTTAATATTTTTTAATATTTTTTAATATTTTTTAATATTTTTTAATATTTTTTAATATTTTTTAATATTTTATAATTTTTATTAATATTTTCTTAATATTCTTCTTAGTATTTAATAAGCTTGTAATTATTTAAATATTTTTAAAACTTTAATTAATATTAGCCCCGCTTTTTTTCTTAGTTTTTTAATTAATTTAATTAGTTTTTTAGTTAGTTAATTTAGTTTTAATTAATAAGATTAACTAAAATAAATTAATTAGTTTTTAAAATTAACTAAACTAATTTAGTTAGTTTTTAAAATTAACTAAACTAATTTAACTAATATCAACCCTGACCATATCAATGTGTGGACCAGGAGAACTTCAAAAATTGCAACAATGCTTTATTTCTACTTGATAAGTAGACCTAGAATACACGATTCTACCATTTTCCCATGCGTATGAGTCGACGCCAATCTCGTCGCGAGGTTGGTTGAGAGAAACCTGGAACGTCCACGAGCTTGGTGTCATACCAGCAGGTGTTCGCGTGTATGGTTCTGCCTAGATATCTTGCTTTTCTTTTTTTTTTTCTTCATTTTTGTTCTTCTTTTTTGTTCTTTTTTTTTACTTCTTTTTTTTCCTTCTTTTTTTTTCCTTGTTCTTTTTTCCTTCTTTTTTTCTTCTTCTTTTTTTTTTCTTCTTTTTTTTTGTGGAATTCTTCCCTGTGGTAGTTTCCTACGCATTAACACAGTCGAACATATGGTAGTTAGTACTCAGGCCTTCTCCATGAAAATTGGCTTCGGCATGCAGATTATCCCACGGATTCTCACTGCCTGAGGTAGAGATGCGGGATTGCATTGGGCTTGCACCGTGGCATTCTGGCTGGTTCTCGGGCGGACGGTCATCATCATGGATTGTTGACCACTTCGACGAGGACAAATTAGAGTAGTCATAAGAACAATACCATCCGGTTTGCCGTTGGATCCCACAAGGAATACGATATCTAGCCACTTCTGTTCGGAGTCAGCTTTCCTCGCGGCGTGCAAAGTGCTTTCATCTATCGATCAATAACAGTGAAGTGTCGTAGCTCGCACAACTCAATTCCCTGTGACGCCTCCCCATTCATCTCATCTTCTCCATGCTCAATACCCGAGTCTGAACAGGTCACAGAGCCCACTTTAATCTATACCAGCCCCATTTTCTGTCTTTCCAACATGGCCAGCGCTACTGTCAGACTTCTCGTTCTTGGCGGCAATCTCCCTATCAGCGTCCTCATAAATGGTCGGCCTGTGCAGCTGCGTGGCCAGCTTGTTTCGGAACACGAAGACACTGTGGTTCTCCTCAAAAAACCTATCAATGTCCTCCAGCGACCGATTCGCCGTCTCGGGGTAGAAGAAGAACGTCGTTGGTATGAAGGAGGCACAGATGACGGCCCAAATTACCCAAAATCGATACCCGAGGTTCTCGATCCCGGGCGGCGTCACCTGCGCCACCATATAGTTCATAATCCAGTTAGTCGCCATGGCGAGGCTTGCTCCCTTGGCGCGGAATGCCAGCGCGTTGATCTCGGTCGGGTACAGCCAGGGCACGCCCAAGACACCCATCGCGAACGACGCGAAGAAGACGAAGAAGAAGGACACGGCCACGATACCCAGCCTGTAGCTGTCGCCGCGACCTGTCTCGGTGAGTCCCGTGGCGATTGCGATGATGGTCCAGCAGGTGGAGCATGCAGCAGCTGAGACCATCATGACCCGGCGCCGGCCATACCGCTCGATGACGAAGTAGGCCATAAACGAGAAGAAGAGGTAGTCCATTGAGCCAGCGGCGGCGAGGATCCGGGCTGTCAGCTCGCTGAAGCCGATAGCGTGGATGAAGACATAGGTCATGTAGTAGGAGGTGACGTTTATGCCCGAGATTTGGTTCCTGCCAGGGTCTGGTCAGCAAAACATTCCTGTCACAACGGTGTGCGCGAATCGCTACTGACATGGCTTGCATCCAGGCGCCCAAAATCATCCGCCGCATCGCGCCTGGGGGCCCGCGTCCGCTGATGAGCTGCACCCAAGTGTACTCGACGGCGTATTCACGGTCGAGGACGTCCTTGATGATGGAAAATTGCGTGCGGACGGAGGGCGAGCTGGGCGTGGCGCCGTGGCCTTCGAGCGCGGCGAGGACCTCCATGGCTTCGTCGTGCCGACCCTTGCGGATGAGAAGGCGGGGCGAGTCGGGGAGAAACGGACACATGAGCAAAACAAGGCCGGAGAAGACTGATCGATGACTTTAGCTTAGACACATAACGAACTCCCTAGCAAGAGCAGGAGCCGACTCACACATCTGAAAAGCCAGAGGGAACCGCCACGAGACACTCCCCGGCGCGAACGAGAAGCCCAGCGTCAACCAATTAGAGATGGCGAAGCCAGTGATACAGTTTGCCATCTGGATGATGATCAGCTTCCCCCGGCTCCGCATCTTAGACGTCTCGGACTGCCACACGCCGGCAGTAGCGGTGTTCATCCCTGTCCCGAGCCCAGCAATGACACGGCCGGCATACATCTGCCCGGCACTGTACGAAGCGGCCTGTATGATCGCCGCGACGGCGATGACAGAGCTCCCGAGCATCAGTGTGCGAGGGCGGCCGAGCTTGTCGCCGCTGTATAGCGTCGATAGGGCGCCGGCGAAGCAGCCCAGATTATACACGGACGTCATCGTGCCCTGATCTGCCGTCGAGGGATAGCCCATTGTCCTGAGGAAGTCGTCCGAGACGAGGACGTTCCCGAAGACGCCCTGGTCGTAGCCGTAGAATATGAGCACCGTTGAGGCGGCGATGGAGACCCATACTGTTAGCCGCTCTCCTGAGCCTCCGAGATAGCGGCGGGCCATGGCGACTTGGACGATGTTTCTTGATATCTCGAGCCAAGGAAACGACAGATGACATTAGAAAGAGTTGTGTATGACAATGCAGTCTATAAACGCATATTTGAAAAGCAGTGGTGGAGACAGATAGACAAGTTCCCTCCCTAATTGAGAAGCGCGCTGGTCACGTATTTATGTGCGTGTGCCCGGACCATTGAGGACGATTCGCTTATGATTCCGAACCTGGGGAAATAAGCAAGAGACATCACGCCGCAAGCAAAGCCGGGCCATCTCCGGCCACCCCCTCAGATTAGAGTCAGACAGATCGTGGTCACTAGTCGAGGAACTTGGTGTCAAGGGTGCGTAGGCTCGGTACTACGCATGCACTCCACGGCGCTACCCCATGGGGAACGTTCAACCCCCTCATTCTTGACCCCATCTGGACGATTCTGGCCGCAATCGCTGTGCAGATCACAGATATGGCGGATCGGATTGCCGAAGACAGGAAGCCGCGAATTGAGAAAAGGCACACACTATTCTCACAAGCACCTCAGAATCCATTGAATGGTCTGCAGATGGCTTGAAGTGGGTCTCGCTCGTCCCTGATTCTGCCGGGCACGAGGCTCTCATTGTTGAGAGTGGGAACAATGGAGGGACTTGGGGTGAGCTCACCGCTGCTCATCGGTGAGACTGGTTTGAAACTTAGGGAGGCCGAGAAAACTTCTTGAAGTCTCTCCAGATGTACCAAAGACAGAAGAGTCAGTAAATGCGGGCGGAATGTCAGAAAGCAAGACGAATAGACTTGCTCTGTCGCGTGTTCATCTCGTCCTTGACATTCCATCTACCACGTCCGCTTCCCTGCTAGACATCCGCCGATGGACCGCCATATGATAGAAGTGGTTCCTGACGTTTATGGACCATGTCGAACAAAGCTGGTGACAGTCCTCTGCATCGGATTGTGACAGTTTTGAACCGTTGACTCCTCGATTTGCACCCTCAGCAACTGTGTACGCACAACCTTTTGGGCATGATTGCTGCTCATAGTCACTCCCTTCATGTGGTGGCGACCAGATAAGAACAGCTGCAACTCTTCCAAGATTGGAGATGTCGATCAAGAGGAAGGCTGATAATCGAGCAATAGGTCCCGCCAGATCTCCAGCTCATACTGCGCCAATAGTTGGTGAACAATATTTGCAACCTGACCTTCAGTCTGCGTGCCATGTGAGCGTTGTCAGTCTTCTGTTCTAACGACAAGTTGCTCTCGATGAACACTCACCAGAACCCAACAGTGTACCCCTCCCGGGCCATCGTTTTCCGGGCCTGAGTCGCAGGACCCCAATACGACCGTGGTATTTGAAGTCGGGCAAATCGTGGGTCCTCCCGTTCGCGGAAGCGATGCGGAGGAGCCTGGGCTGAAAGCCCACAAGCGAGGTGGGAAAGAGGCCCGTGGGGAGCTCCCTTCGTAGCGCAGTGTCTTTAGTGCTTCTTGACGTTCTCCATCCACTGCTTGGACAGTTTCGTTCCGTCGTGCGCCTTGCGGTGCAGGGCCCTCTCCCACTCGTCCAGGCCCCGGAGGAACTCGCCGTCAACACCAACGCCGAGGTTGCTCCCGTCCTCCTTCCCGCTCGCCCCGCCCGTCTTCCTGGCATGCAGCGCAAGGTCGGCGGCGCGCGTGACAAAGGTCTTGCGCAGGACGCCGTCCAGCTCCCTCTCCTCGAACAGGTCCATGAGGCGCGTCGCGAGGCCGTAGAAGTGTGTGCTCTGGTCGCGCAGCGGCACGGCGCGCGGGTCGGCCTTCAGGGCCTGGACGACCTCGCTGGACAGGGCGCGCGGCAGAGACAAGTTCACGAAGGACTTGGCGTCGTCGTCTGCGGCGCCGCCGCCGGAGGTGTTTGCGAGGGCGAGCATCTCGGCGAGCCACAGGGGCAGGGCCAGCTTGGCGCCGGCTTTTAGGGGGAGGCCGGGGCTGTTGTCGAGGTGGCCCAGGTCGGGAATTTCGAAGTTGAACTCGCAGGGTATTTTCTGGGGAGAAGATCCAAATTAGCATACACGATATCTACAAAGCCGAATTCCACCACCATGCCTCCAAACATGGCTGTGCCGTTCGTACCTCTGCGTCCGTGAGGATCGCGTCAATGTCGTAGTACGACATTCTGAGGTTCGAGTATATATCTTGGACGCCAATAATTCGAGGATCAGTATGGAATGGGCCACTGAATCTTCCCTCAATCGGGTTCAGGGCGGATACGGACGAAGTGGTGATGTTGTTTGGATCCTGGGCCTAGAATATTGGCATGTGAACGCGGTCCTGGAAAATGGAAGCGAGACGCGACTGACTGCTTGGGCTGTGGGGCACAGTGCAATTGGTACAGCTTGCAGGGGGTGACAAATCGCGGCTTTTGCTGGGTGATGAGCTCTTGCGGCGCTATGACGACAGTGTGAGATCGGAGACCACAGCGTTGGAGCTTCCCACTGCATCCGAAGCTCCAAGCGACCTGTGTGTGTGGGCGTGTGGGGTCCGAGTCGGCCAAACGGCTTGACATCACCAAGACTGAATCACTTATCAATTCCTCTCTTCAACTTCGACTCCCCTCCTCCTCCTGCTACTCTCTGTACCAGGTTCGTACACGCTCTACCTAAATCAACTCCAGCTGCTACTTTCCAATTGGCCTTTATACCATCACACACAACCAGCTGCAAAATGTCGGCCACTCTCCTCCGATCGACTCCCGCCCTGCGCGGCGCTCTGCGGGCTCAAGCTGCAAAGCCTGTCATGGGCATGGCCAGCACGCAGTTCGTCCGCGGCAAGGCCACTCTGCCCGACCTTTCCTGTAAGTGGAATATCTCGCTCGTTTCTTCTGGGGTTTCTTGAGCTTTGCGATGCCAGCTTGAGCACATGCTAACAAGCGCCCACTCTCGACAGACGACTACGGCGCACTCGAGCCTCACATCTCGGGCCAGATCATGGAGCTGCACCACTCCAAGCACCACCAGACCTACGTCAACGGCCTCAACAGCGCTCTCGAGACCCTTGGCGAGGCCGAGGCTAAGGGCGACTCGTCCAAGGCTGCCAGCGTCGCGCCCCTCCTCAACTTCCACGGCGGTGGACACGTCAACCACACTCTGTTCTGGGAGAACCTGGCACCTGCCAACAAGGACGGCGGTGGTGAGCCAGCGGGAGAGCTCAAGGTACGTGGAAACGAAGAAAATGACGGACGGGTTGGGCCTGGGTGCTTGCTCCGCCTTCCCACAGCAGCCACTCCACAAGAGCAGCAGACTGACGTACATTGCGATTACAGAAAGCGATCGACCGCGACTTCGGCTCCTACTCCACCCTCGTGAAGCAGACCAACGCCGCCCTCGCCGGTATCCAGGGCAGCGGCTGGGCCTGGATCGTCAAGGACAAGGAGACCGGCTCGCTGAGCCTCGTCACCCGCGCGAACCAGGACCCCGTCTCCGGCAACCTGATTCCCCTGCTGGGCATCGACGCCTGGGAGCACGCCTACTACCTTCAATACCAGAACCGCAAGGCCGAGTACTTCAGCGCCATCTGGAACGTCATCAACTGGAAGACGGTGGCCAAGAGGTTCGGCCAGGCTTAAGGATGGGGCGGTGTTACTGGGATGTGTCGAGCGTGATTATAAGATGGATGATAATGGCATCGGCCTGTGTATAATCTTGTCTAGGTAGTGTCAATGCGCAGTGACCGTCGAAGATGACCGTCGATGTTCCGTACCGACTTGAATTTTTTGCTGTGCATGTTCCAAGTCGGGTGGCTATATGCAGAACGTATGAGGCACTACTGAGCAACCCTGCAATCCAGCTACATAGCCTTGGTGAACGCCCATGATAACTGAATGCGCCCCAGTCACATTTCTCTAGTACCCGCCGAACGGGCACCAAGTCTCGCAACGGATTATTCTCAGCCTCTAGCCAACATTCGCCACACGATCATGGCCCTAGCACTGAGAAGGCGATCATGGCTCCGCCTAGGTGTCGTCCACCTTTCCTAAGGGACCTGAGGCGTCAGGAGCACGAAGATCCTACACAACCCCGATATCAGCGAGTCCGGCCTGATGGCGGGCCTCACCCCTGTGATGCGTGTTAAATAGAATGAAAGTGGACGGAAATGTCGCCATGTTTGTGAATATACCAGAGCCGGGCCCATCCCATATTACTCTGGTACCAAACATCATCATATATTATGAAGTTCCCTCGAACTTCCAGGCCCCTTAGCTTCATGGGGTTGCATCAAATGCTCTTCATCTGTCCATCGTCTTGTCCAATACACACAAATTTCCAATTGCTCCATCGCACTAGCCGGCTGATTTATCGCCTGCCTCTTCCGCCTCTCGTCTCTGAAGAGAACGTGTCTTCCTGAGATTTGTGGTGCTCTTCCTCCTGCGCTGGTGTGCGCATCAAGGAAATACCTAGGTCGACCCAGCGTGTCCGTCATTAGTCGCAAGCTCTGTGGAGTTCTCTCATTTTATAAACGCACCACGTTCTAGTTCGGTCATTGTGTTCTTTACTATTCCTATACAGAGATGTTAGAAGAACCTTGGAACCCGACGAAGCGTTTGGTCTGTGAAGTTGAATTTTTCAGGGTTCAGAATGGCCTTGTATAAGGTACTTACCCATGTCTTGTCTAATCTCGGCTTGACCAACGAATAAGGCTGCATTGCGAGGTCTGTTAACACAGCAACCACGATATTCCATTTGTTGAAATCGGTCGGGGACAGGACGAGAGAACAATGCTGGCAGGCGTTTGTGCCAACCTTCCCTGGTCTCTGCCAGCTGAAATTCGTGCAGCTGTTCTGGACAAAAATGAGCCCACTTACCATGGAGAAGAGTCCGTTGCACATCAATTGATATGTTGAGAGCCTGACTTTTCAAACTGGCTAGGCTGGCGGCTAACCCGGCCTTTAACGTTTCAATGCTCATCAGGCTCATGGATGCGAAACCACCTAGATAGAGCAAACAGAATGTCAAAAAGCGGATATCAGCGGCTCTGACCTTAGAATAGCCTTCACTTACCTCTGAGCAACGTGACTAGTTGGATGCGAAGTTTCTGCTTGAGACGTAACGCCTGTGAGAAAAGTTCGCGTACGGCCAAATAGATTTGAAAAGAAATCGCTTGTAGGCAGGAGACGTTCGCAAAAAGTTCAAGGTCACGTTGAGCTCGATCGACAAGATGCGGAATGTCTTCGGCAATTTTGTATATGAATTCAATTACCTCAAAGATTTCGGTGGGCACCTACAAGAACAGATTCTCCCTTAAGAAGTGCCCGTGAAAAGCATAATCAGAAACATACTTGTAGGAAAATGCGGAAAGGACCAAAGCTTATTGTTGTTTCCTCAATCTCGCAAGAAATATTCGACGAATGGAAAAAAGAGAACTCAAACGGATGTGGGTAGTGTGCCAGACGAATGAATCTTGGGTATCGTATGACTTTGTTATGATTTGCTTGAAACCATGCCATCAATTCGTCGCTGACTTCACCCTCGGCTGGACCAGCAACGTTGGCCATTGCCGTTTAGCGAGACTCATCGCATCTCTGTTGCCAGTAGACTCAGTCATACCATTCATTTGACGGGGACGGGGAGACGGGGCCACGACCTTGGTGGCTTCCGGCCAACACACCCTGATGACTTCGGAAGCATCTTCCATCGGCGCCTGTGGATTAGAGGGTCCATCCATCTGTGATTATCGTTGTGCGAATTCTGTCATGAGGGAGCATAAATAAGGAGGTAAGTTTCAAGGTCTGCAAAGCTGGGCTGGCACAGTGTCTCACTCGATTTAAGTATTCCAAGGTTCAAGCCGTGTAACCCTCCACTCCGCGCAAAGGACCGCGTCCCCGAATCGAAATGTCATCTTGGGGTGACACAAGTAGCAAGTCATTGGTGGTAGATATCTCCAGTGGCTCGCCCACGGTTCCCCCACGGTTCGCCCAGACTCCACCCATGGCAGGGCAAGTATGTGGTGTTACACTGCATTAAAGGCAACTGCTAAATCCATGTTATTGGAGCTAGATATTGGTATGGACGGACATAAGAAACGGATTTGAGAATCGTCTTGGTTCTATCTGCAAAGAGCCCGTCCTAAAGCCTTCCATGACAATTCACTGCAAAACCACTCATCGAATCCCGCCATTTACATGCAATTTCCGAGAATCCAGTTCGGTGAGAAAATGCGAGGGAGGCTACACGATCCCCCAAGATCACTCTACCAAGCATGGCACCTATGGACTAAGGCGGGAGCATCAGCAGCATTCATCTCAACCCTCTCCACGGCCCTCTTCTCAGGCCTGTGACCAGGGGCCTATCGGTAGGGGTCTTTCCTGACACATCCCTGTCGGCCGTCTATCACGCCTTCATCAGCTTATGACCCACCCCTTGGCCAACGTCAGGCGGATTTTGTCGAAATGTACCTGTGCACTCAGCTGGACGACGAGATAGCATGATGTACCTCACAGTTGGCTTCATCAACATCTCCTAGCTCCACTCGAGTACAGGGTATGTACGTCGATCTGCCAGTACCCAAAGCCCTGCAGAAGTCCAGTGATGTTCTTGCAGCTCGGGTGGAAGTAGTCATCCTCGGAGGCGCCAGTCGGGAACATGGGAATACTGCAGATCTCATCCGGAGACGGGCACCTCTCACACTCCCTCCAGGTGCTCCACCTGAGACGTTCGGTAAGCTGCACGATCTTCCCCTGCACCGCCTTCACAACATCGCCAGAGCTGGGCGTCATCCTAGGATTTGCACGCAGGACACTCCGCAGGAAAAACAGCGTGTCGCAGATATTGTGGGATACCCTCTTCACCGCGGCCGCAATGGCGTGGTCTTCTGGAGTCCATGTCTCGGGGCGAAGACGGGACGGATCGAGATAGTGCTGTGTGCAACGATCGATAGCGAAGTGCTCTGAGTTGGTGCTATGGTCGATATAGTTGATGTATGGATCGACCATTGTGCCGATGGCGAGGAGCAAAGCATCGTGTGACCACTGGTTGTTCGCGATATACCCCAGCCTTTCGGCGAAGCGTGTCACGATGCTGTCAACTACACCTTGCCAGTTCACGACCGTCCGCTTCGTCACTTCTTGACCACCGCGTGCGGAAAATACATCCCTCAACCTGTCGCGAACTGTCGACCTGCTTTCGGCCGTGGCGTTCACTACCCTGGGTAGATCCTGCCTATGCCAGTCCGGATTAGACACGTTCATCGGGTAGGAAAATGCCGACACCATGCTGCTCCAGTCAATGTCCAACCGCCCGGCCGGGTGCCCGTGAAAACGAGCGGCAGAGGCGCGGAGCCACTCGAAGAGCGAGGCGGCTTGATGTGGCAGCAGCCCAGTCTCGTTGCTAAAAGAGCTCGCTTGCACCGATACCAGATCTAGCCCACCTTTTTCGGAGAAGTCGCAGTAGATGATCTCAAACCCAGCCTCCATGCGTATAAAGCCATCGATCTTGGCGCCAGTCGGATGCTTCCACTCCTCCGCAAGAGCACACGGTTGCTCGGCTCGCGGCCACTCCCCGAAAGTTGGTGGGACAGTGTCCGCCTTGTCGCGTCCGAGCAGGATCAAGTCCTGGCTATCGAGGGAGCCAAGCGGGCACTTCGCGGCAGCTTGGCCATCGATGTAGAGCAGATTCAGGGGCCGATTCGCACGGTAGAGATGGAAATATCCGCGGATCAGCCTATCGAAGGGCGGCTGGTTGGGTGGCGGGTCCTTGTCGTCATCGTCGTCGTCCGTCTCCTTCATAGTGGCCATGGGACTTTGCGAGAATAGGCTGTCGTGAAAGGACGGACTGTGAGGAGTATCAGACGGTGGCTTGGCATGGGAGCTCCGATGCCTGAGAAGAGTCTTCAAGACATATTCATCGTGCGTCAACTCGGCTCTGGTGAGGAGGTCCAAGTCTTCTGTGAACTCCCATGAGGCGGCAAATTGCGCAGCATGTTCCACTTCAAAGGCCAACCACTCGAAGCTTTCGGGGCGGTCTGGACTGAAGCCTCCATGATAGAAGACGCTGCCCTCGGGCGCTGTGGCGAGATAGAACGACAGGCCATTGTGGTGAACAGACGAGCCCCACTGTCGCATCGCGGAGTGGATCGAGTTGAAGATGGCGAACGCGTTCTTGTTTGCGCTCTCAATATCAGGGTGGTTCGAGGTAGAGCGAGATGCAGAGACGGAGACGGAGCTAAACACCAACGCCAAAGTGGGAATTAGACTGCGCATGATCGTGGCAGAGCCTGGGTTTGTCGCGCGGGACAAGAGCTCCAGACATGCAGTCTCGGGTGAAAGATCAGACTTTGATCCTTATCGACATTACGGGGAGTCGCTGCTCTCACAAATGACAATGAGGAATGATGAAGACGGTGAGCAACACAAACCTCGAGGATCACCGCAATTTGGACCAGTTACCTTGTGGGACGGGAGGATAACCAGCCGGTCTTACCTGCTTGCTTGGCCTGGGCGTGCTCACCCAGACTCCAGGCAGGCAGCGAGATAGACGCTTGTACGCCTTGATCTCCAGCACCCCCAAACATGGCTGTTGCAGAGAGTGAGCAAATCGGCCAGGATTTGCGAAGATATGCACAGTTGAACTTCAAATTCCATGCAAACTGGGTACTGGGCATTGAGCCCGAGTTTGGCACGTAGTAACAGAAGCAAGGTTGCGAAGGAGGGAGGAGGGAGTGACGTCGAAATCGACCAGGGGTCTGACGGCCCAGAAAGCTTGTCTTCTCCCGATGTGGGCTTGGACCGGTGTGTCCCTGGCGCTTTACGCGGTACGGTGTGCTAACAAAGCCTGGCCCGCTGTAACGCGATCGCGAGCCCGAGCACAGAAGATCAACAATGCCAGGTGCTGTCACTAGCTTTTAGAAAACAATGGCTTCGGACCCGATGCCAGCGACTTGGAGGCCGATCCGAGCGGCTTCAAAGTACAGATTCCACGAGTCGAGCCCCATTGATACCATCTAATCAGTGGCTTTCTGTCGGCCCTCTCAAGCTGGGAGACGGTGAATCGTCTGGCTCTCCGCCATTCTCCCGGCGTCGCAATCAAGACGGTAGGACGGCCTAACCCACCCTTTCTCCCCGACCCTTTAGTACAGTATGTCCAGAAATGCAGCCAATTGGAACCTCAACTATTCAGCTACCATTTACCCTTTCCGCTTGTGCACATGTTCTTCAGGGCACAGTTCGCTCCAGCCCTGCCTAGTGTGGGGGAACGATCCCGATTGCGAGATGTAAGCTCTAGGGAATCCTTCTAGAAAGTCTCCACATGTTTTCCCATACCGCGTCGTGGCCTTCAACCTCGTGAATGACGAATCCAGCCACGGCAGTGGCATTCGGTACCACTCTGTGCACCAGCTGTGGAAGATACGGAGGCAGCCTGCGGAGATACTGGTCCAGTCGAGGTCTAGTCTTATGCAGATGTGCCCTCAGCAGGAAAGATACTGGACACCACCAAGCACGCACAGGAGATGGCTGACTCCAGATGACAACGGTGACGCGCGAAGGATTCAATATCACCTCCTGCTACAACGCTTTTGGGCGTGGTATACTGCGATTCTGCACTAGCATTTCCATCCCCTCCCCTCGTCAATGATTCCGTGGGCACACAGGTATAAAAGAGATGGCTTGCGCCTCCAATTGCCGGAGTCGCTGCTGGCACCCTCCGTCCGGTGTTCGCCTTCACGGACCACTAGCACTCGCTTCAGCTTCAATAGTTGTAGCCCAGTATCGAACAAGGCCGCCACCTAAATTCCATCGACGAAGACCTCATCCGAGAACACACCCCACCCAGTCGCCACCATGAAGCCGTCTCATGCCCTTGTCTTGGGCGCTCAGGTGCTGGCCGCAGTACGTGCAACCATCTCCATCCCAGCTCCGATCAACCTCAACGTCTCCTGGGCCCTTGCTGACCTCGACTCCCCCCGACTAGGCGGCCCAGAGCAACGCCACAAATGAGACCACACTGCCCCTGAGCACTGATTCCGAGTTCTCTTACATCTTGAGTGTGGTTCTGGCACTGTCCAACAATCTTGGCTCAAACACCGGCGAGGTCCTCCGTGCTGCCTCACAGATCACCCCTGGAGACTTTGAAAGCTGGTACACCCAGTTCAGCTACCTCGCAGGACAAATCGAGGCCCAAGGCGACAGCACAACCTCTCCAATCGGCCAACTGGAGTCTTACTTCCACGCCGCATCTTACTATCGAACCTCGGGCTTCTTCCTTGTCCACAACAGCACTGATCCCCGGCTCTTCAGTCTCTGGGACAGCCAGCTGAAGAATTACGCCAAGGCCATCGATCTGCTCCCCTTCCCCGGCGAGAAGCTCACCATCCAGGGCCCAGGGTTCACCATCCCAGCCTACTTCTACCCTGCCGACACCTACTGCTCCCCATCAAAGAAGGCCAAGCGCGCCTGCGCTGACTCAACAAAGCGCCCAACAATCATTGCCGTAAGCGGCTACGACGGCAGCCAGGAGGACCTGTACCACGGAATAGGACGGCAGGCCACCTCCCGGGGGTACAACTTCGTCACCTACGAGGGGCCGGGCCAGCCGACCGTGCGCCGCGAGCAGGGCCTCGGCTTCATCCCGAACTGGGACGCCGTCGTGTCCCCCGTGGTCGACTACCTGCAGACGCGCGACGACGTCGACACCGACAAGCTGATCCTTCACGGCCACTCCTTCGGCGCCATCCTCGCCGTGCGCGCCGCTGCAGTCGACAAGCGATTCGCGGGCGTGACCCTCGTGGACGGGCTGTACAACCTGCAGCAGGTCCTCAAGGAGCTCTTCCCCGCGCAGCTGATCCAGCTGTACGAGGCGCCCAACGAGACCGCCTTTAATGCGTACACCCTGGCCATCTACAACAGCGGCCTGGCGCCCAGCAGTTTCAAGTGGGTCTTTGACCAGGGCCTCTGGGCGTTCAACACAAAGTCGTACTTTAACTGGTTCGACCAGCTGGGCAACTACACCATCGATGGGTATGCGCAGAACCTAACCATCCCTGTACTTGTGGCTGGTGCCGACCACGACACCGTAGGCCTGGAGCAGGCGCCCACCGCGGCGAAGCTGATTGGGTCTGAGGCGACTTTCCATCTGTTCCAATCTAATACCGGTGCTGGAGAGCATTGCCAGATCGGGGCGGAGAGCCAGCTTGGGTTGACCCTGTATGACTGGGTTGCTAAAGTGGTAGGCTAACTTGGTGGATTTAATATTGCTTACTGTTGTCAAGATTTAAAGGGAACTTAGCGAGACATCATAGTGTGGAAGACACAATACTTATCAGATATGACTCCCAGTTCCAACTTTTTGCTGCCGTTCTATACATAAGAGCATGTCAAAACAGACTCATCGTCTTGTCTTGGGCGTCCAAATTTCTAGACCTGCTGTCTGCATCTTGAGCACCGCCTTGCTTGGAAGCGAGTTCTCTTGCAAACAGCAGACTAGATCAGATTCGGCAGAAAATTCAAAATGCATATTATTCAAGGCTTATAGCCCGGGTTAGAGCATTGTGATCGGGTTGTGGTAGGCGATATGGTATGGATCTAGGTTACAAGTCCGTGCCAACCACACTCCATGCAACTGTGTATCAAAGAAGATTGTGTGTATACTGGTGGGAAGAGACGCACTTGGAATATTTATCATAGCTGTACATGATTATACGTGCATACTTTAGTGGCTGGCTCTACGGCTCAGCCCATGCCTACGACTGTATGTAGTGTCCTTTGCAATTGGATTAAATATTACCTAGTACATGATGAATTCAACTAGACTTGAATTAGGGCTGCACTGTCTGCCCCGTGTTCTCTCAGATTGAGTCTAATACTTTAGATCCTGAAGTCTGTCCTAGTGTATTGTCTCGTCACGATATCTGTTACTAGTTCAGTCTAAGAACACACAAGTGACCGAACCGCTCCACGGCACGCTGTGAAAAAATGGATAAACTGGCTCTCATTGCGAAATATGCTAGGAGCGCCGAATCCTTTCAGTTTGGGAACTCTTCACAATTTGTGCGTCCAACCTCTCATCCTCGTCGTACCACTTCACGATATACATGACCGGGGAGAGAACGGAGTCTTTCAGCCCGTAAACATTCGAGGGTCATCAGCTTCCCGGGCTGCGAGGATGAGTGAGCGACCCAACCGTTTACGAGCAGCTGCGAGAATGAGCTGTGATCTTTTGAAAGCCCCTTTTACAAAACTGGTCAAGGAACGTGAAAATAGCGTCGTGTCTTGGGCGCTGAAGACCTTGAGCAACACAACCGACTCTACCCAGTGCAACTCCGGTAATGCATCCGATGACGACCGGCTATCTCACGGCACAAACACAGATTTGACTCGTCAGGAGCAACCGGATATTTCCACGACGACACCACAGGCGGGCGCGGATGAGCCGTATCATGTGTTTGGAAACCGTATGAAATGGGTCTTGGTGGCCCAGATTGGCGTGGCTGGCACCTTCTCTGGCTTGTCATCCAACATTTACTTCCCGTGCCTTAAGACAATTACAGAGGTGAATTAAGACAACACTACGCCCCCACCCCCCTCCCCCCGAAGCTTCCGGGCCCCATCCCGCCTGCCTGAATAATTTTGCTAAGCCGTCACAGGAATTTAAAACTTCGCACCAAGTCGCTTCCCTTACAATAACTTCCTATCAGCTCATCCAAGGCATCGCGCCGCTCATATGGGGAACCCTTTCAGACAAATTGGGCAGACGGCAGGTGTACGTTTACTCGTTCATGGTATATATTGTTGCCAACATCGTCCTGGGCTTCTCTCCCAACTTGCCAATCCTCTTCGCCTTCCGTGGCCTGCAGGCGTTCGGTAGCGCCTCGGTTGTCAGCATCGGTTAGTTCAAGACCGCTCAAGTCCAGAAATATGCTGCAAGTAGCTGACACCTTCGAAGGCAACGGGGTTATTCAGGATATTGCACTTCCCGTCGAGCGTGGTGGTTTCATGAGCATTTATCAAGCATGTAAGTCACACAAACAATTGGCTTTACTTTACTTAGGTTCTACGTCGAGTTAATTGTGAATGCCCGCCTTTAGTACGCATGTTCAGCATTGCCGTTGGTCCTGTCATAGGGGGCGCCTTGTCCCACAGATGGGGATTCCGATCTATATTTTTCACACTTACAGTACTCGCCGGCCTGATTCTCGTCCAGATTATTATTCTGCTACCTGAGACATTGCGACTTGTGGCCGGAAACGGCTCTGTGCGCGTCAAAGGTATCAAGTATAAGCCTCTTTGGGATGTTATGTCCCAAAAGCGTCCCGACTTCGCAGACCATGAGGAGGTTTCCAAGCCGGAGGTCAAGCTGCGGGACTTTTGGGAACCTTTGCACATGCTTGGTGAAATGGATACGCTGCTGACCCTCGTATTCGGTGGAGTTGTCTACTCGATGTGGTCTATGATGACCGGCACTACGACCATGCTGCTCGCAGAAAAGTTTGGCCTTAACGAACTCCATATAGGCTTTGCTTACCTGCCCAATGGTGAGTTTGATCCCAATAAATCAAGAACTGTTGGACAAGTTAATGCTGACGCTGTAATTGTAACAGGCATTGGCACTTGTGCGGGATCAGCCCTTGCCGGATGGCTGATGGACAAGGACTACAAGTCCACCGAGGCGATTTACAAAGACACACACAGGATTTCTGAGGACTGCAGTATTTCGCCAAAGGCCATACCCATTGACTTCCCAATCGAGAAGGCACGGTTCCGTCACGTCTTTTGGGTCACTGGGCTGCTGGCGGTCTTTTCGGCGCTATATGGCGCCTCATTCTGGGAGCTGCCCATCACTTCGCGTCCTGAGTGGATAGCTGTCCCGCTGGCCCTGCAATTCTTCATCGCTGGGACAAGTAACATGATATTCGCCATCAACTCCACCCTCATCACGGACTTGCATCCCGGGAAAGGCGCCGGCGCCACTGCTATTAACAATTTGGCGAGATGTACAATGTCTGCCGGCGCTGTCCCCCTCGCGCACTACATGATCAAGAGATTGGGGACGAGGCCAACCTTCTTCGTTCTGGCTGCCGTGGTCATATTTTGCATGCCCCTGGCAATAATCAGTCGAGTGTTGGGAATGAAGTGGAGGAGGAAGAGAATGAGGAGGATCGAAGATCTCCAAAGCGAGTCTCGACGTGTCACCGAGACATAATATTGGAGTTCAGAACGAATTGGCGCGTTTTTCAGATACGAAATCGAGCCCAGAAGAGGACGTCCTTGAAAGACGAGAGCAGAGCTATGTGGTGAGATTGAATGTGCCATATTTCTTCATATGATAGTGAGGTGAGATCTGGGACGCGTATAATAATGAGGTTCGTAAAGTCTAGAATTGCAATGCAAATTTGACTTACACTAGATACTATATCCGTCCTTTAAAATACTTACGGCATCAAGTACACCGTTGCCAGCGCGCGGAGGGGGCCACGCTCTGCCCCCTCCCCCTCTTTCGAGAACCAACCCTGAACCCTGACTCTTGTGCGATCCAATCACGCTAGGGGCTTGTCCTAAACTTCACTCGGTTCCACTGCAGATCACAGTCATACGGGTCACCCAATGACATTCCTACGCTCAAACTGGAGCCCGCCGATAATCATTCATCGCCTTTCCAAGACTTTTTGACACACAAGGACCGATTTCTCATGGATTGTCGAGCGTGAGAGCCGCCAATGCCGAAGTCGAGTCACCCTTGATTCAGGAGGCAAAATCTGAGCGTTGACCGGAACCAGTCTGCAAGCCCACCTACATCCACACCTTTGCATCCCGTCTGTTTACAACCCATCAGACGACAGAATTGTATTGGATAAAACAAGTCGCCATCACTCAAAGTCATGACTTTGTTTTTCAACCCCTTCTCCCGGTCCCAGGGCGGCAATGCATGGTTCCGAGTTGGCCTTGCATCTTCATTTCCAAACATCACCAGCGAGGACGAGGACAACATCGCCCATGCCCGCCCATGTGGCAGCGAAGCTGTCACCGCGCCTGGCTGCAAAGTGTTCTACGTCCCCAAAGAAGATAGCTCGCGTGCCAACCAGGTGACGCTCGACGATTCGGGGGCGCCGTCGGAACCAGGAAGCCTGCGGGACCAAGTGCTTGTCTTCCAGTACAAGGGCAAATTCCATGCAATAAATCAGGCAAGCGATAAGCACCCCAAGCTGCCTTGTCCGCATCTCCTGTCTGAGTGATTGCTCACTGACCGGATACGCAGGAGTGCCCTCATTCGTCATACCCTCTCTCAGACGGAGTGCCGTTCGACATCGAAGATTTCGGCATTGTTTTGAGCTCCGGCATCACGTGCCCCAAGCACGGGTGGTCGTTTGATCTGATCACTGGCAGAGGCGATCGAGGCAACTATAGGCTGCAGGTGTGGGAGACTGAGTTGCGCCCCGTGGAGACGGCTGGCGTTGAGGGAGGCGACAATGAAGTTTGGGTGAGAAGGAAGCAGAGGATTGGTTGAAAGTCCTTGAGGTTTGTTTTTGCGGTTGATAGAGGATTCAAGGTCACCACCGTCTGACGATTCCAGGTATCAGCGCTGCCTCGCCCAAGAGTGCCTTTTTGGTCTGGCACTTTCTGGCGTTTTAGATTCACACATCAGTACGGTAGATCTTTGTAAATGAATACATATCATGCAAAAATTCAGTAGGAGCCTCACTGCCACAATGCCAAATCTATGACTGCTGTCAATACTGTTGAAGTTTTACCCGGTCCACTGCTGATCCGGGGCCACTACATCCTCTTACAAGACAAATTCCTGTGTAATTGTACGTTGGCTTTACATTCCCTAGGGAATGCTTCTTCCATGATTATCGGGGAATGTAGTTTTCATTGCATTCTGCTCATCTGGCTGACTCCACAGCAGGAACGGCGTGGGTGGCTGAGTTCTCCCGGCATGGCGTGGAGCAGGGGCTGACACGGCGGCCTCATTGGCAGATTGACGCCTGCGCTGCACCTATCACGTGATGAGTGCTTCTCGAAATCAAGGACGCAAAGCAGGGGAGCACGCAGGCAGAAGCCCTCCTCTCCCTTCATCACCTGCTGAATCCGCCGTAGGCTTGTCGGTGACTTTGGACGTTGTAACTATATCATATTCACAGTCTCAGTGATGCGTCTTCTCGACACCACAACTTTCGAGCTGGCCTTCAACAGCCCCTCCGTGTTCAAGCAGGAAGGCTACGCAATCCTCTCGCATCGATGGATCGGCTCGGAAATCACATTTGAGCAGCTAGGGGGACATATCGACGCGCTCCGGTCAGCAGGGGTCACACCCTTGGAATCACCTCAGCAGGACAAAATTCGGGGCGCATGCCAAACCGCCAGGGCCAAAGGCATCAAGTGGATGTGGATCGATACGTGCTGCATTGACAAATCGAGCAATGTTGAGCTATCCGAGTCGCTGAACTCAATGTTCCAGTGGTACCGCGATGCCAAGTTGTGTATTACTTATCTGTCAGATGTCATCAGAAAGGGAACCGACAGAGAGGGCTTCACCAACGAGGTGGGTCAGCCCTCCGTATGGTTTTCACGTGGCTGGACGCTGCAGGAGCTTCTCGCCCCGCGCCACCTCGAATTTTTTGACAAGAACTGGGACCCCATGGGCGATAGAGCCGAATTGGCGGGGCAGATCCAGAAGATTACCGGCATTCAGAGCAAATATCTCAAAGGCGAAACAAAGGATGACTTCAGGGCTGCATGCGTTGCTACGAAGTTCAGTTGGATCGCAAGCCGCCAGACAGAGCGCGACGAGGACATGGCGTACAGCATGCTGGGTCTCTTCGGCGTAACGATGGACCCACGTTATGGCGAGGGCTGGGGCGCATTCATGCGGCTGCAGAAAGAGCTGCTTGCTAGGTCGGAGGACGAGTCACTGTTTGCGTGGAAGATGGCGGAACCCGACGCCGGGTTGAAGCTCCTCTCTGGAGTCCATTCACAGCAGCAGGAGAACTGGAGAGAAAACGAATGGGGCCTCCTGGCGCCGCGCCCGGTATGTTTCAAGGATTGTGGTCAGATGACAGTTATTTGCCCCGGGGACAGGAAAAAGTACATCAGCAGGCATGGTGGGGGGTTCCAAGTTCGGCAGCGGGGTTTGCAAATTAGCTATGGGGGTCGTCATGAAGTTGATGTTACTTACGCAGCGAGGCTTTGCGGGCCCGCCTCCTTCCTCTTTTACGCAACCTACGGCATCCGGGCATGTTTGCAATCGTCGCGCGAGCTTTCCCATATGTACATTGACTTTCAGTATACTCTCAACTGCTGGGATCGGGATGAATCGGGGGGCATAGTTCGCGTGCAAATTTGGCTACGAATGATCAGCGGGACCCAAGATGTACATATCTTAAAGCGGGTGAGATGTACAGAAGTGATCAAAGATCTTGACAGGAGCAGGCCGAGTCACACGACAGCATCTGGCGTCGTGTTGCAGCCATGGGCGTTGGAATCATAGCGCTAGAGCTTAGATCATCATGACAGCCCGCCGTTGCTTTATCAGGGATAAGAATGAATTCCAAATTTGGGGGCATCGAAGATATTGCCAAAGAATTGGCCTCGCCAGCTCACTTAAGGTCGATCCTCGAGGTCTATTGGAGGCAATCACGGCGTTATCGTGCTAGTTAGCAGTGAGAAATGCGATCAGCAAGGCCATTCACATTCACACTTGACATACAGATCAGTTCCGACTGACAAGGAATGGCATCGCAACCGTAGATTCAAATTATCCGGCCTGAATCAGGCTTGGTGGTTATTTGAAACCCGTAACTACAACATTGGTGTTTGACTGGAGAATAGTGAGGAGAGGATGATTGCGCCGTAAAAGCACAGGAGCAGACATCCGGGGCATGTTGTGATGGATTTCTCCGACAACGACGGAAATGTTGGGACAGTGGTAACGAGCGTCTGAGTTTCTCTCTCCTCTTTACGTTTACAATACATTACGAGCACGTTTAGGGAGCAAGAATAAGCGTTTGAGAAGACACGAAGAAAGAAGGACAAATGTCAAACATTGGAGGCCAACTTGGCGACTACTGGGCACGCAGTCATTTACTGCCCACATGAGCATTGCAGCCCCCACTTCTTGACACGCCACCTACAGGTGGAACAAGTACAACTTCGAGGAATGGTCTTGTGAACACCTGCGCGCTGGAAATTCGCGGTCGATGCAGCACGAGTGCATGCCTGTGCACGTTATGCTCGGGGAGCGTTAGTCCGTCTCGGACCGCAGCCGAATCGAGGAGAAAGGAGGCATCATATCAAGCGTGGCTCACTGCTTTGGCCTCTGCAAGACCAACAGCGAGCGGCAGGGAGACGCGAGCAGAGCGGAGCATTCCATTATTTGTACATAGGCTCTGGTCTGGAAGCACAGAACCTCGCAGCCCAGCCCGGTGCCTAGATCTTGGGACGTTTCGATTGGCGCCGGGCTTGGCGACGATGGGGTTGAGGCTGAAGGGGCCGGAAAATCGTACTTGATGCCATTTTATTGGTGCAAGCCCCAAAAACTGCCGGGCTCTTCGGCGGAAAGGAGGCTCAAGAGGGCAGGCACCTTACAATCCCCTCGGCAACTGTGAGTGGTGCAATGACGCCAACGCCAATGTCCCTGGCGCTGCGAATCCAATACACTGGGCCTGCCCTCCTCTCATCTCGGCTCCCTTGAAGGCGATCTCCTGATGGCCCACCGAACAAGGTTGTTTCCCTATTTTATTAATCTTGTTCTGTGTGTCGAATTGAATCCACCTTGTATCTCGCTTGAGCGGTTGTTTCGCCGAGATGTGGCGGACCGTTCCTCGCAGAAGATCAGCGAATTAGGGCCCTCGAATTTCCCATCATGCTGTCTTGGCGTTTAAGCCAGTGCAGCATTAATGACAGGGGCAATGCAGCCTCCTCAGATGTTCCACCAATACCCGTTGTCACCGGCTCCGGATCCGAAGACCAGGTATCCACCGTCACCGTCCGCCCCGGGCGCGGACCATCACGTCCGAAGTTTTGAGGCTTCGTCTGGCGGCAGGATCTACGGACAGCGAGAAACTGCAGAAACAGAACGAAACGAAACAATGTGGTCGATCAGCAACGTGAGACTCAACTTTTGTGGCTCTATCGAATTGTTCCGTAGCACTGCCCTCTTCTGGCCTTGTTTCCTACTCATGATACCACGCACGACTCGCTAACTACCGCATGTGATGGGTCACGAGAATCCGGATGCTTGGCCCCTGAGCAAACAGAGTTCCTCTTGCGGAAGGCGACCCGCAAAAGCTTACACGGAGGATCTGTCATTGAGCTCAAGCGCCGCCTGCGCAGATTATGTACAAGACCCTTGCAGGGTTATGGCGTCAAACAAAAAGCTCCGAAATACTCAGGCCGGTCCCCTGAACGCAACCCCCTAAACAGGTTGCGGGACTCACGAAAGCGTCGATTTTGGTAATCTAACTCGCACGAGAGGCGGTAGGCGGTGGCCGTGGTCCACAGAAACATCGAATATATGTCGAGACTGTTGCTCGACTCTTTCTCACCTTTTCTTTCCTCTGGCACGACCATCTTGGATTGCATCCTTTGAAGTCACCGCAAGCTCGGTGTTGTCTTTCGTTTTTTTCTTGTCAGTGCATTTGCCTGGCTTTACATTCTTTATCACATTCATTCATTCACCAATTACCACAGAGCTAGGCTCTGTCAGCTTCGGTCCCTATCACACCAATATCACTACAGCTTCTTTCAGCGCCTCGAAAAGACACAAAAATGCGTTCCACACTTATGGGTTCGGCGGCAGCCCTTGCCGGGCTCGCCCGCATGGCGACGGCAGCTACGACGGCGAGCGCGTACACAGACGCCAAGACAGGCATTGACTTTATGCAATACTCTGCCAACGGCGGTGCGTTCAGCTTCGGTATCGCCCTTCCCGAGACGGTCGAGTCGGACTTCATCGGACAGCTCGTGGTGCCCATCACAAAGACAGGAGGATGGGGAGCCGTTTCGCTCGCCGGGAGCATGTTGAACCACCTCCTTCTCGTTGCCTGGGCCAACGGGGAGGAAGTTGTCAGCACTTTCCGAACCGCCGGTGCATACGCCAACCCGGACGTTTACGATGCCACCGAGGTCAGCGCAAAGCCTATTGCCGACGGAACATTTGTCAACAGCACCCATTTCTCCTTCACCTTCCTCTGTGAGGGATGTATCGTGGGAGGCACGACCTCTTTCAAGCCAACAGACGAGACCCCCGTGTTCGGCTGGGCTCTTTCCGCAGAAGACCCAACTACTCCCTCAGACCCCACCAGCGCCATCCCTTACCACGGTGCTGGGTTTGGCTTGTTCGGAGTCCCAGCTGCGGATGCCAAGTCCGCCAAGTTCGACACATGGGCTGCGAAGGCCTCCGAGGCCACCACACCTACTCCTGGTGCCGGCAGCAACTCGACCACGCCAATCGGCGGCAACAGCACGTCTGTTATTCCTACGACCTCCAACGTGACCTACGATGTGATCGTCGTTGGTGGTGGCCCTTCTGGCATCATCGCTGCTGAGCGTATCGCCGAAGCTGGCTCAAGTGTCCTCCTGATCGAGCGTGGTCCCGCCAACACTGTCGCGCTCGGATCTGATGCCGGTTTGCCATGGAACGACACCCTGACGCCATATGATATCCCCGCCCTCGGTAGCAGCATGTCAGCCCTTCCTGGCACCAAGATCTGCAGTGACACCGCCTCGATGGCTGGCTGTCTCCTTGGAGGATCCAGCTCCATCAATGGAGAGAACTTCATCCACCCCCCTGCGCACGACTTCAACAACTGGCCCGCGGGATGGTCCTGGAGCGACGTGAGCAAGGCCGCTGAGCGTCTCTACTCCCGAAACCCCGGTACCACTCAGCCCTCGGTTGACGGTCAGTACTACGATGACAAGGCGTTCGACGTTGTCTCTTCCTACCTGGACGGGCAGGGCTGGACTGAGGTCGACTCCATCGAGTCGCCCAACGAGAAGCACATGATCTACTCCCGCCCCGCTTGGTCCATCACCAACAACCTCCGTGCTGGCCCCGCCAGGACCTACCTGCCCCACGCTGAGGACCTCGACAACTTCACCCTCAAGCTCGGCAGCAAGGTCATCCAGGTTAAGCGTGATGGCAGCAGCGTCACCGGTGTCCTCACCGAGGCCGAGGATGGCAGCCAGCAGATCATCAACCTGAAGGAGGGCGGCAAGGTCGTCCTGGCTGCCGGAGCTCTGTCCACCCCTAGAATTCTCTGGAACTCTGGCATCGGCAAGTCCGATGCTCTCAAGATCGTCCAGGGTGGTACGACCGGCGTCAAGCTTCCCGACGAGGCCGACTGGATCGACCTTCCTGTTGGCCACGGCCTCAAGGACCACGCCCAGGCTCCTCTGCAGTTCAACATGGCCAACCTCACTGCGTACAAGTTCAACGACATCGCCACCGACCCTGTGGACGCCGATCTCGAGCTCTACAAGCAAGGCTCCGGTGTCCTGACCCAGGCCGCCCAGCGTATGCACCTGTGGACCTCGATCAACGGCACCGACGGCGTCGAGCGCTACCTCCAGGGCACCGTCAGCGTCATGAAGGACGGCATCCTCACCATCCGGGCCTTCCTCACCCACGGCACCACCTCCACCGGCGAGCTCGGCATCACGGCCGGCGGCAACACCGTCCTGAACGTGAAGCCCTGGCTGGTGACCGACGCCGACAAGGCCGCCTTCTCCGACTTCATCCAGTGGTGGATGGACACGACCACCCAGAACAACGCCACCGTCGCCGCCTCCGCCTCCATGGCCCTCGACGCGGACGCGACGCCCGAGTCCATCATCGCCGACTCCCTCATCTCGGGCGACCACTGGGTCGGCACCGCCAAGATGGGCACCGACGACGGGCGCTCCAACGGCACCAGCGTCGTCGACACCGACACCCGCGTGTACGGCACCGACAACCTCTTCGTCGTCGACGCCTCCATCCACCCGGACCTGCCCACGGGTAACACCCAGGCCATCATCATGATCGTCGCCGAGCAGGCAGCCGAGAAGATCGCCGCCTTCGACGTCGCCACCGGCGGCAGCTCTGCCGACGCCGGCGCCGACGCCAGCGAGCCCTGCACCAGGAGGAGGAGGCGGGACAGCATGGGCCGCGTCATCCGTCGCCGCTACTAGACGGGGAGACTTCAACTTGCATGGTTTGGTATAGACGGTTTTTAAAGGGGAGTAAGGACACTGTGTGTGATTTTTTCTAGATTCAAAGCTTCTTGTATATTTTCAGACCATAGTAGATAAAGAGTTGTCAATGTACATGATACAATTGCCATTATTCACATCACTACGTCTCATGCAGACATTCGTGCAATAGTCGTGGATCGCGAAATGTATTTCCTCTATACCTAGTAGGTAGCTCGCTGCCTAGATAGGTCCGTATGGTAGCGAGATGATCGACTGGCTGAGAACCCATGAAAGATTTGCGGCCACACGCTATCCTTGTCTATTCCTAACTTGACTTAGAAGAAGCTTCCCTTCCACGCGCTCGCAACAGCCTGCGCGACCAGCTTGTTGATCGAATAGCCGGGGTGGTAATCGTTGAACCACAGGCAGCTCTTGCCGTCGGCGTTGTAGCAGGTTGCGTCCGGCGATCCGTATGCGGTGGGGTTCTTGATGGCGGTCATGAAGGGCGTCGTGGTATCGACGATCTTTGCGTTGACGCCGCTGTTGGCCGACGTGAACTTCGCAAGCGAGGACGCCAGCAGCTGGTTGTACTTGGCGATGACAGTTGCCTCGGCGTCTCTGGCGCTCGAGGCTTGCTGCAGCATCATAGGCGTGTATTGGATCGCTTTGCAGGTCGTGTCAGTATGGCTCTGTTCAAAAGAGTTCTAGTGGTGATCGGAACGGGGCATTGAACTTACGTGGAACGCTGAGAAGGACGAAATTCCGGGCGCCAGCGTTGTAGATGATCTGGAGCTGCTCGAAATACTTGGCAATGACGGCGTTGGTAACGTCAGTAACGTTGCTGAGGTAGTACGTGTTGCCGACATCGTTCACGCCGATCCATACTCCCACCAGGGTGTTTGATGCTGTCCAGGGGGCGTACGACGGGTGAGCCGCCAGGGAGCTGCTGAACTGGCCGACCTGGTCCACGAAGCTCTTGACGCTGGGGTCGTACGGCTTGACGATGTTGGAGTCCGTCGTTGCGCCACCGTAGGCAAAATTGTAGGACAGAAGATTTGAGACTTGCAGCTGGGAGACCAGCATGCCCACCCAGTTGAGACCGCCGGCAGCTGTCCATCCCGGTAGAGGTGGGTTGCCAAGGGGGTTGCTGGCTGATGGCTTGTTGCCGTTGATATCAAACCCGGTCTGAGAGTACGAGTCGCCGCTGCTTGGAGGGTGAGTATGCCGCAACGAGAGTGGATTTCATGAATTACTGACAATGTGATAAGATACTGAGTTCCCGTTGGTGCACTGCTGGGCGCCACTGTGGAGGTTGTGACTGTTCTGAGTGTAGTCGTTGTTGTGGACACTTTGGATGTGCTTGAGGTTGCTGCAGCCGATGATGTTCCTGGAATGCATTGTGCTGTATTTCGGGTTAGCTGAGGATAAAGCACACAACCCCAGCCAATACGTCACTCACAATAGTACGCGTTCAACGATGTACAGACCGATCCTTGAGCACAATTCGTAGCCCCGGTAAAGCCAATACCCCCACACTGACCATACACTGGCACTTGTGCTGATGCGACAGCAGTCAACAAGGACACCAGCCACATTGACTTCAAGGCCATCTTTGATTGGGATAGCTAGACAAGTAAGCCTGAGGACCTGGTGAGTGTGCGAACACTTCTGATAACACACAGAAATGAGGGACTGGAGAAACCATATATCAGGAACTAGGTGACAGGTTGAGGCTGGGACAAAGCTTATCTATACGTGGGATATGCTGCTGTGCAGCGGCCGCCTCGCTTCGGCCACTATTTGTTTTCAACTAGGGTAGTAGGCGAGTGGTGCGCCCCGGGAGCTACATGGAGCAGTTGCCCCCGCAGAATCCGGAGACCACAACGTGGCTTCGAAATGAAAAAGACATCCTTTCTGCCGACTTTATCTGACCATTGGAAGCCCAGACCATTCTTGGCGCTCTGCAGCCGCGTCGATTTGGCCGCTTAGTTGTATTGAGCTTCCCTCGGAGGAGGTCAGCCGCGCTTTTTCGGGCTAAAGGCCCTCGCAGCCGGAAACACAGGCACCGTTTGTCAGTACACCAGATTTGCCTACTGACTCGTTCCCAGGATTGCATCGTGGGGCAACGAATGTAATCGGAAACTTTAGATGCGACTGTGCCTGCGTTCAACATATATCCTCTTACTAGTAAATTGTTCAACAGCCATCTCTTGCCTACATGACAGGGAATTCCTCCAGTGTTATGGCTTGTACACCACGAGCCGATATACTTACTTTTACTCGCGAATGGGATCAAACCATTTCGCCAAATGCATCTATGGGAACGAATAATCTAGGACCTTTTATTTTTGATTCCTAGTTTGTTACTGCTTGTCTACAATATATTCATGACCCCCAATGTGAATAATGAACATATCTTCAGTGTCAAATACAACTGTGTTACTGCCTTCATAATGCATTACCTCAATTTGAGCAATACACAGTTTTAAAGCATATGATCGGTTGCATCCCCATCGTCTTTGTCACAGTAAGCACCAGCACATGTGATTGATTGGCTGACGTCGCCTTTGTCCCATCCTATAAGAATTTTACTTGAGGGGTAAATCAAGCATCATTCCTGTGGAAAGCTTCTGGCAATTATTGGGGTCGTTCGTAGTCTCCGTGATCTTAGCAGCAACAGCCTCGAGTGGTTCTAGATTTATTTTTGCCGCCGAGGAACCAGGCTCACACCTCCATCGATCCACCGTGGCAGACTCCTTCGGTGCATCGGCAGAACTGCCAGTGTCCGCTCTGTCTGTCCAGCTCCAAGGCTTCCCAGGTTGGAACTGTTTAGACTAAAGCTCCCAGGCCCAGCCTCCCCAAATCCATGGAAGAGAACATCGTGATGCCACTTGCCGCGTCAGAGAAGTTTTCTGACTGCGAGATCTGCCACGCGATCTGCAGCGCTCTTACGAGTTTCCCGAGCAAGAAAAAACACCGCGCGATCAATCTAGGCTCCTTCAAGGAGGCACTGTCCTCCAAATGTAGCAGGCACAAGCCCATAGTCAAGATGGTTTCAGGTGTGGTGCAGCAGTGACAGAGATCAGGCCTCCGCACATGGTTCGAAAGACGTTGTCATCAGTATTGTCCGGCCGGGTGTCCTCGATTTAACAGAATCTATAAAAGACCTCGGCACCTGCGCCGAACTTTTACTCGTCCGGAAGGAGTCTGTAAAGAACCATCCCGGAATTGCACGAATCTTGGATCCCACGTGGGTTGACACTAGCATCGTGGGCCACTGGCGGAAACGGTGCCTGTCATCTCACGGTACAAGGTGCAAGAATCCTCTGAAGATATGGGCAGTTCGTCCATCCTGGGTCATCGATACGCAAGACAGGTGCTTGATTTCGGGCAGGGAATGCAATTCCTTTGCCGCTTTGAGCTACAGGTGGGGAAAGGCTGAAGGTCTGCAAATTCAGGCCGATACCATGGCAAAACTGCGAAGGCGTGATGCCCTTGACGATCCCGTCATCTGCTCCCAGCTTGCCCCCATCGTACGACACGCCATGTCACTTACATCTATGATTGGAGAGCGGTACCTTTGGGTTGACGCCCTTTGCATCGACCGTTCTCGGGCTGCCGAGAGCACAGAGCAACTTCAACTCATGGGAGCCATATATGCGAACGCCTCCTTGACCATCGTCGCCTACGACGGCGATGCCGAAGACGGTTTCCCTGGTATCAGAGGCGCCTCGACTAGCAGAAACCTGGAAAGATGATTCTATCCAATTCGGCGAAGAAAGATTCATCCATGATAAGCGCGAAATGTTTGATTTCAGCCTTTGGGGCCCCTATCACAAACGTGGTAGGACCCATCAAGAGTTCAGCATGTCCTCCAAACGCCTCATCTTCAGCCAAAATTCGTTGCACTGGATGTGCCAGTGCAGCGTATGGGAAGAGCAGCTCCATCAAGGTGTGGAATCCGAGAAGTGCATCGAAACTAGCATGGGCGAGATCATGCGTGGCATGCCAAACCTTCAATCCCTCAGCCAGTTACTGGGAGACTACAACACTCGAGAACTCAAGTACGACGAAGATTCTCTGCCAGGAGTATTTGGCCTGCTTACAGTCTTCAGCCGGTGCTTCTCGGGGGGTTTCCTCGGTCGGATCCCTGAAATGTTTTTCGAAGCAGCACTGAGTTGGCAGCCACACTGGGAGCACATTAACCTCCGACGAAGAGTTCCTTCTGGCCGCCCTGATTTTAGCCGACTTCGTCCATGTCAGGGTTGTAAAATTAGTTTTGAGTTTTAGTTAAACTTAATTGAGATTGTAGTTTTAGTTTTAAGTTAGTACTTTTTCAATTCTTAGTTTTTAGTTAAACCTTGTGGTGCGGGCAGGGGCGTTTGGCCCCTAAGGGCCCTAGATAGGCAATTTTTAGCTCTGGAGGTAGACTTAGACTTATTTAAGTAATACATACCCTAAATCCCCTAAATTACTTACATTATTTATAATGCAATATATCTTTTTATATAAGTTAAAGAATTTTATAAAGGTTTTGCTAAGATATGCATTAAGAAAGCCTATTCTTTAGTTTAAATCTTAAAATTAAAGCTAAGCATAAGCTAAATAGCTTATATAGCAAAAATAAATTAATTAAGCTCTTAAGTTTAAATAAAGTTAAAGCCTATATTATTAAAATAACGCTGCACTAAGCTTATATTATTATATTAACTAAATTATTAAATTCCTTAAATTTACTTATTTTACTTTCTTTATTTCTATATATCTTTAAGTTAAAATAGTAAAGTTTTATTTAGCTAAATATATACTTTTCCCTTAAGCAGCAAATTTAAATCCTAAAACTATAATTTAAGGGGTAAATTAATAAACTAATTATGCTTATTATATGCCTTAATTTATAACTTCCTTAAGGATTTTATTGCTTTATTAACGCTAAGGGCAAAGTAGCTTATATTAATAAAAAAGTATAAAGTATATTAAAAAGCCTTATTAAGGTTTAAGATATTATTAAGAAAATAAATAAGAATTAATAACTTAAACTTTAAATTATTATTATTAAACTTAAATTTAAAACTTAAAAACCCTATTTTAAAGCTTACTTTTTTATTATTATAAGAAAAACTTTAAAATTACTTAAACCTAAATAATTCCTTTTTTAGCTATTTAATATTAAATTATAATAGTTTATTTAAATTTAAAACTTTTTTATTATATTTAATAAAACCCTTAAATCATTTTATTATATTTCCTTTTTTTATTAATACTTTCTTAAGACTTTTAAGAAAAAGCTTAAAAAAATATATTAATAATATAAAGTTATATAATATAAGGGGTAATATTTAATAATAAAATCTTTAAAGTTTAAAAGATAAAGGCGGCTTTTTATTTTAAGTTAAAAAATATAGTTAAAATTAATTAATACTTAAAACTTACTTTAAATAAATAAGCTTAGCTTAAAGTTTTTATTTTTTTTAAAAATTGCTTTTAAATTAAAATTATTAACTTAAATTATAAAGTTAAAACTTAAGTATATATCTTTGCTTATAAATTTATAAAATTAATTTTAAAGTATATGCATTAAGCTATTAAGCTATTTTATTAATATAAGGAAAAATAATCTTAAGAATTAATTTATTAATTATTTTCTTACCTTTTTAGTTAAGAAAATAGCAAACTTTATAATAAGGGCTAAAGAATTTAAGAATTAATTGCAACTTAATTATATATAAATAAAAAGATAAGAAGTAATAATATTTTAATTAAAGAATATATATTTAATAAGGTTTATTAATGCATTATTAATTATTACTTTTTGCTTAATATTAAAATAAACCCCTTTTTAAAAAATAAGGCAATAAATAAAGCTCTTATAAATTAAGATTAAGTTATAAATTAAATAATAAGTATTATAAAGATAATATATAATTAAATTATAAAAATATAATTAACGCTAAGCTTATTAGCTTATTTTATTATAAATTAAAAATTTAATTATAATGCTTAATAAAATATAAGATAATAATTATAAATTAAAGTAATAAATTAAGAATAAAACTTAATAAATAAGTTTGCTTATATCTTTTTAAATTAAAATAATTAAATATAATAATTATTAGTTTATAATAACTATGCAAGCTAAAGCTTTATATAAAAAGGATAAAGTAATTATAATACTTCTTACTTTTAAGCAAAAAGTTAAGGTTTTATATAAATATATTATAATTATAATAAAAAAAATATAGCATTTAAGCTTATCTTTATTTTAATTAATTATTTAATTAAATTAATAAAATTAAGATAAAGATTAAAATTAAGAAGCTTATTTTTAATAATTTATACCCTTTTAAATATATAACTTAAGCTTAAGCTTAAGTTATAAAAATATTTACTAAGATATTATTATTAAAGAATTCCTTAAAATTAAGAAAAGTAATAAGTAATATGCTTAATATATAAAAGGCATAAACTTAAATAAAGAGAAAAATTTACTTATTAATAATTAAAAATAAATAGATTTAAATTAAGGCTTTATTAAAAGATAATAAGTATTTATATAAGGCTTATTAGCTTACTATCTTATTTATGCTAAAAAATGCAATATAACTTAATTCTTTATATTTAATAAAAAATAAAAACTTAAAGGCAAAAAAGCATTAAGAAATCTTAATAAAGCTTAAGAAAGCATTTAAAAAAATCTTAATAAATAAATTAAATTAAAAGGCCTTTAAGGAAATTATTTTTATTTAAGAGATTAATAAATAAAATAGTAATAAATTTAATATTAAATCCTTATTATAAAGTATAAAAGTTAAGTTAAGTTTAACTTAATTCTTAAATTAATTTTCCTTATTAAGAATTTAAATAATATATAAGCTAAGTGCTTAATTTAATGAATATTAAGGATGTTAATTTAAAGGAAAGAAAGGTAAAAGAAAGGTTATAAATATAGTTAAAAAGCTAATATATTATAATAAATGTCTTTTTAAAATTAAGATTTTAACTTTAATGTAATGGGCTTGGGCTATTACCTAAGCCATAATGCATGCCCATGCCAGGCCCATATTATACCTAACCCTTTTATGTAATAAAGCATATACTTAAAAGATAAATTTAAAGTTAAGTTCTTTTAAAACTTAATTTACTTCTTAAATATTATAATTTATAATTCCTTTTAAGTACCTTTTAATAAATACTTAAGATTAACTTATAATATTAAATTATAATTTTTAAATTATATTAAAAAAAATACTTATATTATAAAGATAAATAACCTTATACTTAAAATATTAACCTTTTTATAAAATATATAATTAGGAATTCCTTAATTTACTTTAATATTAAGCTATAAAAACGCTTAAAAAGCGCTTTAATCCCCTTAATTATTTATAATAATACTTATTAATATTAATAATAATGTTATTATATTTTTTTTTATAATAATACTTTATTAACTTATAAAGCTTAAAGTATATATAAACCCTTTTAACTTATTCTTAATTTAATATAAGTTGCTTTTAATTAAGCCCTTATTTAATAATAATTAAAATAGCTTTTTAGCTTAAAAGATTATAATATAATATAAATTATAAATTAATATAAACTTTATTAAAGATTTTTAAGAATATTAAATCTTTTTATAAAATTAGCTATTTATTAAAATATAATTATATATTATAGCATTTTATAAGCAAGGCAGGTTTTAAAATAGCTTTAATATAAATAAATTCTTTAAATATTTAAAGCATTATTATAAAAACTTATATTAATAAATAGCTATTTTAGTTAAGTTTAAGATATTTTAAATATAAAATTATAATGGCTTTACTTAATTTTATATTTAATTTAAATAATTAATAATATAAGTTAAAGGCCTTAAATAATTAAATAAAATAAAATTAAATTATTTTTATAATTAGCTTTCTTTATAACTTTATAATAAAGCTATTAAGGTATTAATTTTATATATAAATTATAATAAAGTAATAAATATATATTATTAAATTACTTATAAGCTAAAGGCATAAAACTTTAAGCATTAATAATATATAAGCTTAACTTTATATTTTTTAAAGCTTTTAACTTAAGGGCAATAAGCAATAAATTAAAATATAATAATAATAAATATATATTATGGGCTGGCCTTAAAGGGGCTGCAGGCTGGCTAGCGCCTTTTCCCATAAGCTGTAAAGCAATAATTAATTAACTATTTAAGCCAAAAGGTATGTAATAATCTAAGCTCCCTTGGATTACCTAGCTATATTATATAAGGCTTAGGCTTTTAGCCTAAGCTTATTATATAGCCCTCTTTTCCGGCTTATATAGTAATATAATTACCCCCAAGGCTTACTTATAATATTGCCTTTTTAAGCTAAGGTTCTTCTTTATGAAAGGGGTGCCTGCATATTGCGGTAAACATAACTTAAACTTTTAACCCTAGAGCTTAAATTATTTATTATGGGCTGGCCTTAAAGGGGCTGCAAGCTGGTTAGCGCTTTCTCCTATAAGCTATAAAGTAGCAATTAATTAACCATTTAAGCCAAAAGGTATGTAATAATCTAAGCTCCCTTGGATTACTTAGCCACACTATATAAGGCTTGGGCTTCCAGCCCAAGCCCATTACAATATAGTTATAATAAGTATAATAAGGAGCTAAGGCATTAAAAATAAGGGGCTATAAAGATATTAAAGCACTTCTTTTTTTTAGTTAGCTAATAGCTAAGCTAAGGCATTTTAAATTTTTAAGTTTTAAAAAAAGGCT